TTTATTTTCGATGCAAAGACCCTATGAGTGAATTAATATTACTTCCAAAATATGCCATCTTTAATGACCTGACAACAGTATCGTAACTATATCTCTTCTGAATAAGTGTGTTTAAAGGTTTGGTTAGCTTTTGAGGTGAATGACGACATTTTTGTGCTTTGTATAGAATATTACCATAACAGATGGGATGTGAAATACATGAACGTATAAGATGTTTGCATGTTGATTTGTATTTACGAATGATGTCCATGTACCGGTGATAAAATTTAGTAAATGGTTTGATTAGTTTGTGATATCGAAAACCCTGGTGCAATAATTTTTCAGTAATACAGAGATTTCTTTCGTTAAAATCAAATACGTTGTTACATACACGAGTGAATCGAACAAGTTGAGATATATAAACACCATAAGATGGTGACAAGGGAACGTCACCATCTAAAAATGGATAGTTAACAATAGGTAATGAAAAATCATCTCTTTTATCGTAAATTTTGGTAATACGCTTCCCGCTAAAGATATAGATATCAAGATCAAGGAAAGGGCAGTGTTCATTCTAAGTATAAGCTTTATTTAATGTCAGTTCAGCAGGATAAATCTCTTTAGTGTACATACTGAACTCGTCATTATTGAGAGCCAAAATATCATCCAAATATCTAAAAGTTCCTTTGGCTCCATCATAAGGTGTTTATATATCCCAACTCGTTCGTTATGCCCGTGTGTGTAGTGATGTCATATATTTTAACGAAGTAATCAATGCATCACTGGTAAATTATTAAGTCAGGGATTTCGTTACCATAAATTACGTAAAACTTGTACCAAATTCTTTCATAGATACAAAAATTTGATTAGTCAATTTGGCTGTACCTGTAGAAAACGGATTAAAAACGGTATTTCACATCCTAAATTTTACGGTAATATTGTACTTAAAGCGCGGAAATCACTTGTGATCCGTGTAAACTCATCGAACCTTATTAGTAAAGGTTATCTTACCAATGTTGTAATTAGATCTTTGAATATAGTTTACTTTGGCACTAATATCGATTTTGTCATCAGCAAATTAAAACATATCTAAATTTGTATTTTTTTCAAACGGGATGTATAAAGACACACCCACGTTCATTATATAAAGAGGTTAACTCCTAACTATCCTACTGCCTGTCGATACATTTATTTTTGGCATTGCACAAGTCATGTCTTCTTTGACTGTCCATGACGTTAAAATACTTAATCCCTGGGATATGTTTTAGTTGATTTTAGTCTCTGATCCATGATATTTTATTATTAATTATTTTTGGCTTTTAAGTAGCTGTCAGTTACTGCGAGTACTCTCGAATCGTACTTTCTTGTTTATTTGACCTGTTGATACTAATTGTAATGCTTTTTAGTTATTTAATGTTATTCAGGGTTATATCTGGTCTATATACCAGCTTTGATAAGTGTTTGATATTACTATAAATGTTCACTTCTTCGTACTATGAACATCAAAATTATTTATTTTGTAAAAATATTTCCTTTCTTCATTTGAACTGTACACGTATACCTAACAACAAAATTATTTTCATTTACCCGTGTTTAAAGTAATTGCAATTGACTGATATTTTTGTTCAAGCATATTGTTTTTCTTAAATTGTTTAACACTTCACAGCGGTATAACATGTTATTTTAATTATTCTTCCCTTAGTTTATTTATTTTGTATTAACATTGTATCATAGATCAAATTTATTTGTTCAGTGTATGTTCACTGGTGTTAATATGTCTTTTTATTGAGTTAAGCCATTTCAATTGATATTTTATAGTGTGTCTTTCTATGTTGTGATGTTACACTATTGTTTCAGATAAGGGTGAAGGTTTGGTACATTTAAAACGTTTAAACCCGCTGCAATTGTTTGCACCTGTCCTAAGTTAGGAATTTGATGTTCAGTAGTTGTCGTTTGTTGATGTGGTTCATAAGTGTTTCTCGTTTCTCGTTTTTTATATAGATTAGACCGTTGGTTTTCCCGTTTAAATGGTTTTACACTAGTAATTTTTTGGGGCCCTCTATAGCTTGCTGTTCGGTGTGAGCCAAGGCTCCGTGTTGAAGACCGTACTTTGACCTATTATGCTTTACTTTTATTAATTTTGACTTGGATGGAGAGTTGTCTCATTGGCACTCATACCACATCTTCTTATATCTATATATCTATTAAGAAACCGATTTGCAATCTTTTTTTTTAATAAATCAAACGTACATTAAGGAGGCTCGAGGGTATAAAATTTAAATTACAATTTTTCCTTATAATTTGTTGATTGAAACCTCTTAACATATGGATTAAAAAAATGCAAAAAAATAGGGGGTCACCGACCATCTAAGCAAGTTACAGACTGCTAAAAAAATAGGTTTTCCCCTCATAAATCGTACAATTTTTACAAAGACTAATAGGGAAAATTGCACCTGCGTTGCCTTCATCTTAACCTACTGAGAGAACAAAATTACAGATTTCTATTATACTTTCCATTCTAAGAGAGTTGGTAGTGAAGTTCAGAAAAAGCAAAACAAAAGTGGGGGTCACCGACCTTTTAAGAGAGGTAGACCACCAAAAGTGTGAAACCATGGCAACCAAAAAAGGTTATTTTTGAAAAAAAATCAACTTTTTCTCCCGTATTTTGGCCTAAACTATATGAAATGAAAATCTGTTTATGGTTAACAGTACCCTTAAGTGATATGCAGGCCAACATTGAATTTTAGGTCATTTTGGTAAATTCGTAAGGTCATAGGTTAAGGTTATGTTGTTCATGAACATGATAAATTTGTTATTTTTGAAAGTTTTGATGAAATTTTTATGAGATCATTCGCTAAGTTAAATCAAAATTACAGATTCATATTATACTTTCCATTCAAAGAGAGTTGGTAGTGAAGTTCAGAAAAAGCAAAAAAAAAAGTGGGGGTCACCGACCTTTTAAGAGAGGTAGACCACCAAAAGTGTGAAACCATGGCAACCAAAAAAGGTTATTTTTGAAAAAAAATCAACTTATTCTCCCGTATTTTGGCCTAAACTATATGAAATGAAAATCTGTTTATGGTTAACAGTACCCCTAAGTGATATGCAGGCCAACATTGAATTTAAGTCATTTTGGTAAATTCGTAAGGTCATAGGTTATGGTTATGGTGTTCATGAACATGATAAATTTGTTATTTTTGAAAGTTTCGATGAAATTTTTATGAGATCATTCGCTAAGTTAAATCAAAATTACAGATTTATATAATACTTTCTATTCTAAGAGAGTTGGAAGTGAAGTTCAGAAAAAGCAAAAAAAAAGTGGGGATCACCGACTTTTTAAGAGAGGTAGACCACCAAAAGTGTGAAACCATGGCAACCAAAAAAGGTTATTTTTGAAAAAAAATCAACCTTTTCTCCCGTATTTGGCCTAAACTATATGAAATGAAAATCTGTTTATGGTTAACAGTACCCCTAAGTGATATGCAGGCCAACATTGAATTTTAGGTCATTTTGGTAAATTCGTAAGGTCATAGGTTAAGGTTATGGTGTTCATGAACATGATAAATTTGTTATTTTTGAAAGTTTTGAAGAAATTTTTATGAGATCATTCGCTAAGTTAAATCAAAATTACAGATTCATATTATACTTTCCATTCTAAGAGAGTTGGTAGTGAAGTTCAGAAAAAGCAAAACAAAAGTGGGGGTCACCGACCTTTTAAGAGAGATAGATCACCAAAAGTGTGAAACCATGGCAACCAAAAAAGGTAATTTTTGAAAAAAAAACACTTTTTCTCCCGTTTTTTGGCCTAAACTATATGAAATGAAAATCTGTATATGGTTAACAGTACCCCTAAGTGATGTGCAGGCCAACATTGAATTTTAGGTCATTTGGTAAATTCGTAAGGTGAAAGGTTAAGGTCATGGTGGTCATGAAAATGATAAATTTATGTTATTTTTGAAAGTTTTGATGAAATTTTTATGAGATCATTCGCTAAGTTAAATCAAATTTTACATATTATTAACTGTCATACATAATGAAACAAAATGTAAAACAAAATTTAAGTGGAAGGCGAACCTGAATGATGAGGGTCTGGAAAGGGGGTCCTTCAACCTTCTATTTTGTATTCTTTAAATCTTTATGTCATTATTCTCTATTCCTAAAATTTAGCACTCCTTTATTTTCTATTTTTTATTTGCGATTTTCTCTATTCTTTATATGTTTTGGCCTTAATTTAATTTGCACTTTTTATCCATTATTCTCTATGCTGTAGACCCCATCCAGATACTCAATGATTGTCGAATTCAGTTATCAAAGTCACTATTGTTAGAATAGTCAGACTTATATTGTAGGGAACATTCTAGATGATTTTGAAGGAAAAGTACCAAGATTATATAGATTATAACGCACTGGGGAAAATATTCCTTTATAGATCTAACATTGGCGGATCCACAGGGGCCCACTGACTGCCTATATAATCAACCAAATTTTTCCCCAAAAAGGGGGGATCTGGGGCCCCTGCCCCCCCCCCCCCCCCCCCCCCCCTTAAATCCGCCTCAGTCTAATGCCTATAGGGCATATTATGTAACAAAATGAACTAGTCAACTAGATAATTAGATACCTAAAAAATGATTCCTCCACTTGTCCTCCAAGTTTGACATGGGAAACCTCGAACATCATTATAGTTCCATCAAAAAATAAAATAGGTGCATAATGTATTTTGAATTATGTTTCCTTGAAGACTTATATGTCACATTTGGTTGTTTCCTATTAAAGAGTTAATGGTTTAGATTAAGATGTAGTCTGTGTCTGTCCCACGTCAGGAGCCTGTAGTTCAGTATTTGTGGTTTGTTGCTGTATGTATCTTTCATTTTCATTTATTGTTCTGTACATAAACTAGGCCTCTGATGATATAAGAATGGATGGTCAAGGGTTAATCTATTTCATATCCCATCCACATTTGTGGTGGGGCATAAACAAATATAATCTTCGTTTCTACATAAAATACAAATAACAACTTGCAGTATAGGTGATATAAGTATTTATTTATGGACATATTTATGGTCCCATACATTAACTGATCCATATAACATTAAATCCAAAATCAATTAACCAATGAAATTGTTTAAAAGCATGGTTTGATTTGTGGCACTTATTTCATTCATATAACAAGACATTTCACAGTGCAATAGGGAGTGTAATTATCCTGTTCTGCCAGGCATTTTATGCAAATACCACCTTTTTTTTTTACATTTCCTTCAGAATACTAATTCTTATCTTGAAAGATAAATTAAAGACATAATTTATTCCTTAAAATACAACTAGGCAAAAGGTAAGATACTTCATTTGCCAAAGAAACATAATTGGATACAATTAGACTGTACCAGTAATGAGTGATATCATTTTGCAATGCATCTGGTAAAGATTATTTTTCTCATTGACAAAAATACTACAAGAAATACAACTTTAAATATCTCCCATTGGGTTTCTATCAATAAGCTTTTAACTTCACTGATGGCCATTTTGAATTTCTACAACAGTCAAAACACTTGTTTAGGACCTTGAAATAAATATGTATCTACTTTTTATTTTCAATTCAATCTATAATGCTGTTATCATTGAAATGTGTACTGAACTGACCCTTTAAGCTCCTTCCTAGAACCAAAGCTAGTATCTCGAACTGATCATCTTACAAAGTTTGTCACTTAATATCATTTGTAGTTAAAATATAAAGCAACATGTAAATTGACATTTGATCTTTGCTGGCTCTTATTTTGATTGGCAATAAGATAACACCACTTGTTCAATACCTTGATCGGAAAATAAATAAATGTACTATGTTTTGTTTCAATCCCTACAGGATTTCTTGAGAAGAAGGTTTCAATCAAGATTAACCAATGACAATTTACATTCAGACAGGATGGCTATCTATCTTTACCAATTGTCTCCTAATCTTCAACAATTTAAAAGGACATTAATTGATAGAAATAATTTATCTGCAAAGTTTGATAAAATTCTGTTCACTATTCCTCAAGCATGAGATAAAAAATAATGTTTACAGACAATTGATGACTAGTGATGGCAATTGCCCACAAGGTTAGCTGAACAGATATAATATATAATTCCAGTATAAAAACAAAGAATTATCAACTAGCTTTCAGGAGTAAGGAAGTCAAATATTTTTCGAATGACCTTCATGCAATTTGTGACTCGAACATTTCCTCTGTCAGTTTTTTCAGACAATAAAGCTTTTAATCCTTCTAGTCCCATTCTCTCAACAGAAAGTTTAAGATGAGAGAGCTTTAAGTTTGATTTAGAAGCCTTCAAAGCAGTCGCTCGTGTAATTGCTTTACAAGCAATGGCTTCATTATAAGACTTAAGATTGTCTTTCTGGACTATACAATCATAAGGATGACTTGCAGGAAATACAAATGAATCCAGATTGTTTAAGGCTTTTGAGGTTAATAATTTAAACAATGCTCTAGTGTCATCAACTGCATTGTGTGCACAATAGTTTTCACAAAGAAGTTGTGACACCAATGAAGTTTGAGAATATGATGGTAATCCTGGCATTATTTTCTTGAATAACTCCATGGTGTCTATGAATCCACATATGTGAGATGAAAACTCATTCAACATCTGATTTGCCTTTAGAGAATGGTACAAAACATGGCAATCAAAGCGTTTGATGTTGTGTCCTACAAGAACTGGCTTGGATGGATATTTGGAAAGAAATGTTATAAAATCAGTGAGAGCTTCATGTGGTAATTTGTACGAAACAGGTTGTAAATTATAAAACATCTGATTTGCAGAAACGGTAATTTTTGTAATTTCGGAGGCCTGTATTGAGATAGGTTGGTTTGGAAAGATGTAACTGCTAAATTCATTATTGTTTGAAGTTGCAGCAATCTGTATTACATCTGAGGTTCTATCTGGAAAAAAAAATTAGTTTAGTTTTTCTTATTTCAATATTTCTCAATAAATACAAAATATGTTACCTGCTAATTCAATAGTTTTAGCAATGTATGGGTTAATCTTATCACCAAAATGAACCGAAAAGGAAAAGAAAAAACTAATTATTTTTTTCATGATTTATTATTCTAATATTGTGTTTACAATATCTAATGTTCACTTTTCTATTTTAGTTTTTCATGTGAGGGTCTGTTAAAGCCTCCTGTGTGATATAGGTTTATGATTTTCATTGTTGAAGTCGATCGGTATGATTGCCTATAATTGCCTACTTTCACTTCATTTGAACTTTGGGGGGATACAGTCTCATTGGCAATCATACCACATCTCCATTTTTTATGTAGACAGTTTAAGAAATTTGAATGGGCAATTTTCCTGCTGTGATATACATTTATCTCTAACTTTAATATTTGAGTGATATATATATAATAGTATTACTTCAAAAAGAAAAATGAAAAGCTGGTTACATGTGCAATAACCAATTTACAATGTATATAAGCATATACAGTTTTTTCTATATAATTTATTTTATCATATACTTAGCATTAATATGATTAATATGATAGCTTTTGCATATGTGTAATGAACGGAAGTACACAAGCCACAATTTCCCACCCGGAATGTTAACCCATATCAGGGGCCTCTCGTGCAAGTTACCTCAGGTATTTCCGCTATCGTCTGTTTAATTTTCCATTGTGGCGTCAGATATTTTTTTATTATGGCGTCAAAATTTTACTGGAACTTTTGTGATGTCCAGTAATGGCGGACAAATAGCGATAAGGTGTATTGGATCCAGTGCACGGTAAATTCGTTTGTACAGAACCACCTGTTATTAAAAAACAGATGTTAACAGGGCTAAATCCAATGATATAGATTCTCAAAATGATGATAGTTAAGTACTTGCTAACAAATGCCATTGACAATTATGAATCATCTCATAGTACAACATGTAGTAATAATGATCATAAAACTGTAAATACTTCTTTGCTTCCAAATTTTCAATGTTTCAAAATGCCTCTATAGGAAATGGTAACATAAATATATATGGAGGTAGTGATGCTATTGTTGGACAATGATAGTGTATTTGTTGGATTCATAATTTAACTTCTTTATAAAGTTTTTGACTGTTTTAGTTATTTCATTTGTTAATTTGCCTTACATAAAACAATTGTCGGAAGTATATGATAAAGAGATTGATACATGGCCTTTTCCATATCGGCCAGGGTATCATCCCTCGACCCATATCAGCACCTCGACTACGTCTCGGGCTGATATTGGGGTCTCGGGATGATACCCGGACCGATATGATAACAATTTTTCTATATATTTATATATTAACGACTTACATAGGCTTGTAGTTTCTAAATCAAAGACTACCAGTGGAGCTGTAGAAATATCTATCGGTATACATAAAGATGCATTCATTGGAGCAGGGATTTCTTCATCTAACTTCTCATTGTTCATTCCTATAACACATCAAGTTTTGTAAAAACAAAATTGCAGATTTTAATTGTTATATATGGTGTAAAATGTGTTTGTACAAAAGTAAATGAAACATCAAATGTTTAAAGTATGTTCTATTTTATAATTTTGATAATCCTTATTGCATGTCTTGCATCAATCTTACAGACCAAAAAAGGGGCCCTTCGCTAATCAATTATAAGTACGAAAGACAGAGAATAATTAAGAGTTTAAAGATCATACTTTGGTTAAATTTGCAATAAGTTAAATGAAGTCAAAGTTTAAATTCCAAGACAATTTAAAAAGTTAAGGATGTACCTATTTCACTTTCATAAGTTCTTCCTTCTCTTATTTCAACAACGGTACTTTTTCCTGATCTTTCTTTTTTTAGATTGAATCTTCTTTTTTTGTGCTGCTTTGTTTTTGCTCTTTCAGATTTTTTATTCCTCTTTCTATTCAATCGTATAGCCCTCTTGATAGTCTCATTCCCAGGTGACAATCCATCTGCTTCACTAACCTTAAAAAATAAATAAATAACAACATGTATAAATTCAATATGAGGATGGTCTTAACAGTTATTTAAGAAATGACTGTTCCTTTTTGTTGCCAAGTTTTATTTTGATGTAAAAACATTGATCAAAGCACATTTTACATGAAGCACTTTAGGCTTTTATACCCTATAAAACTACAAAAATAATGAAGAAGGAACAAGGATGCGAGATTTTCTTGCTGTGTTGAAGACCCATTAATGGACTTTGGCTGTTTTCAGCTTTGGTTAGGTTTGCTGTCTGTTTAACACATTCCCCATTTCAATTCTAAATTTTATTTCTTAAAATTACATTTCACCTTTAAAATATACTTTTTGTATAGTGAAATAACAAATTTCCCTTATTTTGTTTTGAAACATTAGGGAGCAACCATTGAACTTCAAGGGGGGGGGGGGGGGGGGGGGGGGGGTTATGGTCTGTTGTTTGAGTCATAAAATATTTTTCATGCAAAGCAATTTTATTTACTTTTTGACGCTAATAATCAAACTTTTTTTCTTCAAAACTTAACACTATAACGAGGTCATGGGGAAATCTGGATTCAGAATATTTTTTTGTCATCTGCTTAAACAGAATATTTTTTTCATCAAACTTGGGATCAGAATATTTTTTTTTGGAAAAAACCATAAAAGTGTAATTTGCAAATATTACCTTTGACACATAACCATATCCCTCATTTTTGTGTAAGACTGCTGCACTGACACGATAATTTAAACTTGAGGAACCAGAATAATGCTTTTTTTTGCTGCTTTGGTTGAGACCATATGGTTAAAGCTTTCATTTGCTTGGGAGCTAGCAAGTTTTGACAGTTTCTTTGATTGGCTTTCAATTTTTCCCAGAAACAATTTCTCTAGATCAGCTTTGAGGCTTTCAGATGTCAAGTCCTTTCCGAAGGGTAAGTTTGTGTGCCTGTATGATGTTCTGTCTTTTAGATAACCACACCATTTCATATCACAGGTTTGATGTTTCCCATACATATGGTCAATCATCCCTCTGACTCCTTTTTCAATTTTTTCTGGACTGCCTTGGTTTTGTGCCAACATGTAGGAATAATTCTTGGTAATTGCATTTATTACCATTGGCGTCAACTCCTTTTGCTTTGGTTTTAGGCTGTACAGATTTTTGGTGATATTTATGATTATATGATTCCTATCACTGGTTTTTATCATTTTAGAATTTGGAAGAAGTTTCTTTGCCCTGTCAAACCCAACAGAATCATCATCACCTGCCAGTTCATTAATTTCAATATTTTTTTCATGTACATCCTTCACCAACTGTACTACCATGTCTGGTTCCTTGCCCTTTGCTGTCCCTGACCAGTTTTTTTTACAATTGTGTGGTATAGGTGGTCTTCCCTTCTTTTGTGCATTCCGACATATACGGCAGCTGGATATTCTGAGGGTGTGATGCACAATTTTCCCTGTTTTTTCCCCTATCAGTGATGCCACACCTGAAAAGTTAAATGTATATGCTAATGCAAGTAAGTGTAAATATGGAGTAATCATGTTGCTATACTAGTATTTCAAATTGATTGTGTAATAATTCTTAAATGATTTGCATATCTATAAATACTTGAATTGGATTGGTCAATTAGAATTTTTCTCTTGGTTTACACTTAGATAAACCATGTTTCCGAAACTAATTTCATAATCTATTCATGCACGATACACATGATTGCAGGGATCCCGTGATTTTCAGCAAATTGAGATTAAAAAACAAATTTGGCTTAAGAATTATAAGGATTTAACACATTTTTTTCTAGAGGTTATTGATGTGTAAACCGGGGCTCTTACTCACAAACTCTAGAAAAAATGTGTTTAATCCTGTAATAAAGGTGTCAACCTAATTTTGCCTAATTTTAGTAAAAGCCACTTTTTGTCAGAATAAAAGACAGAAACAATATATTTCGTTGAGTATTGCATTAGTCATAAGGTAAACTTACCTTGAGATAGTAAAATACACGATCTACAGCTGCAAAGTTTAGAATGGAATACAAAAAGGAGCCAAAAACAAGCATTTTTCTTGTTTCGGGACAATAACTTGTGTATAAGTGTAAGAAAATTTATGAAATTGTACCACATGGTTTCATACCTTAAAAGGAATGTTGGGATTTATTTTGTGGGAAATGGCCTAAACCATTTAGGAATAAGGGACCAAAAGGTGCAAACAAACTAGGATGTTCTGGTTGCCTGACAATTACTTGAGTATAAGTCTATGGATCTCTTTGAAATTGTACCACAAGGATCCATACCAAACAAGAGGCTCTCAAGAGCCTGAATCGCTCACCTGTATTTCAGAGGAGAAGATTTTTAAATGTTAGCAAACTTGAACAAATTGTGTAAAATTGTCTTTAAAGGGCAATAACTCCCTAAGGGGTCAATTGACAATTATGGTCATATTACCTTTTTTGTAGATCTTACTTTGCTGAACATTATTGTTGCTTACAGTTTATATATATCTATAATAATATTCAAACTGATAACAAAAAACTGCAAAATTTTGTTAAAACTACCAATTCGGTGGCAGCAACCCAACAATAGGTTGTTCGATTCGTCTGAAAATTTCAGAGCTGATAGATCTTGACCAATTGAACAATTTTACCCCATGTCAGATTTGCTCTAAAAGCTTTAGTTTTTGAGATATAAGCCAAAAACTGTATTTGATCCCTATGTTCTATTTTTAGCCATGGCGGCCATGTTTGTCGATGGATCAAAACTTCAGATACAATTTATAAACTAGATACCATAAGGAACATTTAGTTAAAGTTTGTAGGTATTTGGCCCAGTAGTTTCAGAGAAGAAGATTTTTGAAATAGTTTACGACGACAGACGACGACAAGTGATGGCATAAGCTCACATGGGGCCATTCGGGCCCCGGTGAGCTAAAAAGAAAGGTTGGGATTGATTTTGAGGTTTATGGCCCTAACATTATAGGGAATAAGGCCAAAAACAATACTTTTCTGATACTTTGTATCAATTGCTTATTTCCTGACCTATTTCCATGGGGTTTAATTCTAAGTCTTAAAAACTTGGAGTTGTTTAATAGAAAGAATCTAACTGTGTATTTATATTTTGGATTGTGATCCTGTGTGTAAATTGGTACACATTGAGGTCCAAAGGATCCAATTTAACTTTGTTTGATTTCTTAAGAAATATAGATTTTTTTGGGTTCTTGTATATGGTGATTCTCATATGTATTCAGATTTTTCATCTTGGGGCCAGTTTTCAAATAAGTCCACATTAAGGTCTAAAGGGTCCAAACATAAACTTTGATTTCAACAAATATTTAGTTCTTGATTTTTTTTTGATATGCCTAATCTGTGTATTTTTAGATTTTATGATTTTTCTGCCCCTGTTTTGTAATTGGTCCACATTAAGGTCCAAAGGGTCCAAAATAAAACATTACAACAAATACAAATTTATGGGGTTCTATGATAAGCTGATTATTACCCTGTATTCATATTTTGGATTTTGTGCCCAGTTATAAAATTTGTCCGTATTTAGGTCCTAAAATACACTCAGTTTGAAATCATCCATTATTGAAATCTTTTGGTTCTTTCATTTGCTGAATCAAACCATGTAGTTAGATCTTTTATATAAATGGACCATAATCATGATAATAGGTAAATGACTGACTATTTTCACTCTGTGTCAGAACCTCCCCGTATGAAAAACATGACATGTACTCCAGTCGGACAGTAGCCGTACTGTAGCAGTACTGAGAACCGTACTTATAATATTCATTTGGACTTTTCTTTGAATTGCTTATAATAAAAAGTCCAGCTGAACTCTATAAAGTTCAGCTGGACTTCAAAAAGTGCGGTTTGACTTTTAAAGATGATCTCAGCAGGGGTGAATCCAGCTATTTTCAAAAGGGGGGGGGGGGGTGCTCCTAACTCAGGATAGGGGGAGGGGGTCCAACCATATGTCCCCATTCAAATGCATTGATCGCCAAAATAATGGGGGGTTCCAACCCCTGGAACCCTCCCCTGGATCCGCCACTGCTCAGTTTTTCTTCAGATGGTTGATTCTTCTGATTTAATTTGCATCATGCATCCCTTGCTATAATCTGAAAATAGAAAAAAAACAGATGACATTATACATATATACTGGTTATTTCTTTTTCTTTTTTTGTACTGTCTTACTGGCAAAACCAACAAATGGGGTAATGAGAAGCTAAATGATAACTTCTAAAAATTTGCGGTTATTAAATAGCCTAAATAATTTTAAAATGGCTAAAAATAAAATAATGTTGGCTTTCAAAATCACTTAAAGTGTAGAAATCAAAAAAACTATCAAAACAACTCAAATAATAACCATTCCTTAATACAGAGGGAATAAAAAATATAACAATTCATTTTTTTACACAACAATTCAAAACAGGAATTGACAGTGACATAACAGAAAAAGATGAAAATTATTGCATGAATATAAATATTTGATGTAGGTTTTTTATTCTTTTTACTCTTCAAAAATAAGAATTAAGCTATTTATAATATTGTAATTATTGTATTAATATGTTGAATAAAAAGAGCATATCAGATAATATCACCAAAATGGTGGAATTCAATTTATTGTACTTACCAGAATTATGCAATCCAAAACACATGCAAACAGCAATCTTCCTAAATTGTCAGTGATGCCAGTCAGAATGATCCATCTTCTCTTTTTAATGTGAAAAGAACTACTTCCAAACATTTGCTTTACATCCAATGATATAAAATTCTCATTTTGTTCAAGAAAGAAGACACATCTTCCTGTTTATTCCAAATTCAAATGTTGTTGTATTGCATTACATGAGGTTGTTTAACATGTTAAGGAGTTGTTTTAAATGTTCCTCTTATGACTAATTGCATGTGCCTTAATTTTGAATATGTGATATATTAAAAAAAGAAAATCAATTATTAATTTGTTTAATTATGAAATTTTTAATAAAAGTGATAGTAATTGCAGAAATATGTATTTCAAAATGTGTTCTCCCACATATGGCCTCAATCTCTGTGGAGATAGTACTTCCTGTGACCTGTCCAGACTGAGGTTAATTGAAAACAGATGGCACATTTCTACAAGACTAACTGCTATTAAATCACTGTTGATCACTGTTATATGGCTCACATTTCTAATTGATGTTAAAGAATGAATGATAATTATTAATTCTATGCATTCATCTAATTAAATATAAATATACTAGAAAATGTATAAATTTGACCTGTAACAGATGATGCTAGTGTTTTTTTTTTTATGAAAAAAGTAGAAATGTTAAATAATTGCTGTATTTTAAACATATTAACTTGAATATAATTCAATCAAAAGTCACCAAAATTAAATTTTAACTTTCCATCAACAGTCTATGTAAAATATTTCATAATGCCCTAAATGGAATTGAAAATCTAGGGAAAGTATCACATCTTATAGTTTGAACTAAAAGTATATTGCAAAAAAATATTTTATCATTATTATTAATTACTTGCAAACTTTCATTTTTAGCTGTTTTACATTTTGAAAGAATTGTTCCTATCAAAGAACAGAATCTATTGTGGCAAACTTTTTATTTCTGTATATATTCGAAGGGTAGATTTGGCTGATGAAAATTTTCTAAGTCTAAATTCCTGCTCATAAATGAATGTAAAATTTTCTAAGACAAAAATCCTGCTGATCATTCTACAGAAAGGAATAAATTTCCTCAAAAGTCCAGCCATGTTTATTTTCTTGTAAGCATTACAAAAAGTGTGGTTGGACTTTTAAGAAAATACCGGCTGGCAAATAACACAAGTATAAGAAAAAGTACGTGTACGGCTCATATCAGACTGGACTTTTCAAAGTCAGACTGGAATACGTCTTAAGTCCAGCTAGAGTCCAGTTGAACTCCTGTTGAAATTTTCATACGGGTATGCTATGTCAAGTATTTAATCACAATCCAGAATCAGAGCTGAATTGCACAATTAATAGAAATTTCATTTCAAGTAGATTCATATTTGATAATATAGATTAAAAGAAGGGAATTACCACTTGAAAAGTCCAATTTAATTTTTTTCAGATCTTAGTCCACATTCATTCTGTGTCAGAAACCTAGGCTGAGTCAAATATTTAATCACAATCCAAGTTCAGAGCTGTACAAAGCTTGAATTTGGTGTCCATACTTGCCCCAACTGTTAAGTTTTTGACATCTGCAGTCATACCAAGATGAGCATTTTATAACTAGTATGTTTTGTTTTTTTAAATATTTGAATATCTGTACACTTGCCTTTAATGCATGTACATTTTTTTTGGTTTGTTTTTATAAGTGCACTATGATTTTATATGTACCTGACAAACTATTGTAAGCCCTTCCAGAACCTTTCTTCTGCCAACAAGTGTCTGTGGATGCATTAATACCTGCTTGTTCATTACCTTCTGTAAAAAAAGATTAAATTCATAATACAGTAACTGGAAAATATGTATTTAAAAAAAGATCTCCAGCCCTAAAAACATGAACCAAAAGGTAAAACTTAACTACAGTCACTTAAAGTGGCCCAAGTGTTGTTTAGCTTGATTGTCCTTTATACATGAGGACTGTAGCTGAGAACTATCATTGATTTATTATGTAATGTTTTCACAGAAATAAACCTAAACACAAAACTCAACCATGAAATTAAGGTGATAGTGACACTAAGATTTAGGTATATATAAATAGAGGCTCCAAGGAGCCTGTGTCGCTCACCTGATATTTTTGTTTACAATTGATGCATGAAATAATGCAACCATTATACTTTTGCTTTAGTTTCAGAGTGAATAACTCCTTAAGGGGTCAATTGACAATTTTGGTCAAATTGACTTATTTGTAGATCTTACTTTACTGAACATTTGCTGTTAACAGTTATCTCTATCAATAATGAATTTGGCCCAGCAGTTTCAGAGGAGAAGATTTTAGTAAAAGATTACAAAAATTTACAAAAAATTGTGAAAAATTGACTTTAAAGGGCAATAACTCCTGAAGGGGTAAACTTATTTATTTGTAGAGCTTACTTTGCTGAACATTTTTGCTGTTTACAGTTTATCTCTATCTATTATAACATTCAAGATAATAACCAAAAACTGCAAAATTTCCTTAAAATTACCAATTCAGGGGCAGCAACCCAACAAAAGGTTGACTGATGCGTCTGAAAATTTCAGCTCAGATAGATCTTCACCTGATGAATATGTTTACCCCAAATCAGATTTGCTCTAAATGCTTTAGTTTCAGAGATATAAACCAAAAACTGCATTTTACCCCCATGTTCTATTTTTAGCCATGGCGGCCATCTTGGTTGATGAGCAGGGTCATCGGATACTTTTTTTAAACTAAATACCCTGAGGATGATTTAGGCCAAGTTTGTTTTTTTTTGGCCCAGTAGTTTCAGAGGAGAAGATTTTTGTAAAAGTTAACGGACGACGACGGACGCCAAGTGATGAGAAAACCTCACTTGGCCCTATTGGACCAGGTGAGCTGAAAAGGTATAGAAATAGAAGTACTTTAATAATCTAATTATGGAGCCTAGCAGATTTTAAATTTCATACCATTATTACAATGATTTTTCTTATGACAATGAAATAATAATGAAATAAATTACAACACAATAGAACAATGAATAGTTGTTGCATGCACATGGAAGAGAAAAGTTAATAGGGGAGACAATCAAAAAATATTAAAGGATTATTTCCTTTTGAACTGTATGATATCTAATAATCTTTGAAGATATGTTGCTCTGAGTTGGATGAAAAAGAAGCCCAAACTAACAAGATATAAGGGTAGGTTTCTCCCATGTACATGCAACAACCAATTACTAAACATCTATGTATATAATATTTAAATTGCAAGAATTGGATTACCATTTTTACAAATTTGACTGCAGTTTAACACATATTTTAGGCATTAACATATACATGTCAATATATAAAATGACATTTGTAAAATATGTGTGCCATTGTATGTACAATGTACATGTATATGCAAATGACAGGATCAGGCCCATTTTTGTTATAAAATTATTATATTTAATTTTCATTCAAACCTGCATCAATGGTCATTGACTGGAAAGCTTCGTCAAGTAAAAACTTCCTTTCTGAAGCATTTGCCTGACACTCTATTATGTCTCCAACTTCATTTTCTCTTGACTTTAGTGACTTATGATGAGGACAATGGACATTCATGGCAGCTAGCAAATTATTCAGCTGGGTTTCTCCTATGCCTGCATGAATCATACCTGATAATATAAAAAACATACAGAAAAATAAATGAACAATAAATTTAAAACACTACCAAAATTATTTAATGTAGCTATAATTATATAGGTTGGGTCATTTATTCTGTGTACATGTACATGTACATGTAGGAAAATGAAGGCAAACAAAATTAATTTTGTGTCTCCTGTGGCAATGCAAAAAAGGGAATTATGATGTCTGACCAGGATAAAATGGTATGTTTTAAATTATCACACTACTGGCAGCTGATTTTAGTTCTAGTTGGCTAGTAAGTCTTGCAAATCAAGAGGATTTTTCATGTTGACAATTAAGATTGACATATGCTTAAAGATACTCATTATCGCAAAAAGTTTCATTCAGTTTCTAGTTGGCTAGAATTAAAAGCAGAGGACATTATCAAATTCACCACCTCCTCATTTACCCTATATATATTTATGTAATACATATAACCATTTTTTTATAATATTCTGGTCATTTCTTGTATGATATCAAAAATATTTTGGTTATCAAATTAAATTTCTTCAATTTTGGAATAACATGTGATGACGTCATTATTCTACTATTATGCATCATATAGCATTTTGAAATTAAACAAAAAACATAAATCTACTCTTTCAATTTGAATCGTCAGAACTTTACATAAAATATCCTTGATATTTAGGTACATGTATCAGCCCACTAAGCCAATCTCTGAATTAAGTATTTTCTGCACTTTTCATAGTTTATTACATACATATATTTATAAATGTATAACTAACCTGCCACACCAAGTCTGTGTGTTCATTACTTGTTTTTCTGCTTTTTATTGATCTGATGAGTTATAATTAAACCCTTTTCAACTGATTTTTATATTTTGTTCATATATTGCGCTGTTACAACACTGTCCCAGGTTGGGCACCTGCATAAATTAACCCCTCAATATTCTGTATGTGCTTGTCCCAAGTCAGGTGCCTGTAATTTAGTGATTGAAGTTTAATGCTGTGTAACATATTTGTTTTTTCATTCATTGTTAAGTACTAAAATTGTTGTTAGTTTTTTTGTTTGAATTGTTTTACAATTATCATTTGGGGCATTTTATAGCTGACTATGTGGTATGGGTTTTGCTCATTGTTAAAGGTTGGACGGTGACCTAAAGCTGTTAACTCATATGTATTTGGTCTCTGTTGGAAAGTGGTCTTATTGGCAATCATACCACATCTTCTTATTTTGATATGTTGTATAATTTTTTATATTGACCAAACTATATCATTATCGTAATTGAAAGAACATTTGTTTACCTGCAGCTAATTTTGTATTGACATCAAATGTACCAACTCCTTTTCTACTACTATTTGCATGATGTGTCTTCCCTAATCTTATTCGGGCAATATCTCCACATTCTGTACATTGTATATACAAAATACCAGCAACACCATAAGGTTTAACTCCCAACGAATTATGTAATTGTAAAGGGACTTCACATTTGGAACATTGTTTCAACTGCTGAACAATATAGTCTAGTTCGACAACATATCTACAGTGGTTTAAGGGAAGTAAATCAGTAGGTAATGGTAATAAGTCAAAATCAACATTATTATTATATTCATCATCAACCACTACTTCATGATCTTGTATATCAGGTACAGACTCAAAAGCAACATTACACAAATCAGATGTTTCAATGGTTTTCAGTTGGGCATATGAGTGGTCAGGTTCTAAGTTTTGACAATGGACTGAGTCAAATATTGGATATCGTGGTGGTCAGGTTCTAAGTTTTGACAATGGACTGAGTCAAATGATGGTATATCTAGGTGGTCAGGTTCTAAGTTTTGACAATGGACTGAGTTAAATGATGGTATATTGTGGTGGTCTGATTGCAATCCACTCCTGTGAAAAACTAGCCCTTGGATTCGTTGGTTTTTCTCTAAATTCTTCTTTTTTGAAAATTTTCCTTGTTTGTTCCTTTGAGACATTGTTCAGCAGACGATACAATATTTTACGATTGTCGTGATTTTATAAAATTTTTCATCATTCAAGGATTTGCAATATTTCAGTGACTAATTCTGAACGTACTTTTTAGATACTCACCACGATATCTCTTTCTTTGGGTGGATCTACGTGTTGAAAATTAGTAAGACAGCTTAAAAATATACCGAAATGAATACAAATTATAACAAAAATTGATAGTCATTCTAGTATAAATATAAAAGCTGGTTACTTGTCAAAATATTGAAAGCAAGTTTCTTCCGAGATTCCAAAATGGCCAATCTCGATGTCAACAAACCGTAAAAAGGTCGACTTTGTAGTTTTAAATACAGTCCTTAATTTAATTTCTGTGAATTATGAATCGAGAAAGCACTAACTTAGAACAAAAATGGCTAGTGTTTTTATATTGTTTTTAATCGAGAAGAAAGTAAATATTTTGCGACGTTCGACCGATTATCGTAATGGCTGCGCACCAATCGACGCAACGGGCGCGAAAATTTAAACCCGCGAGCCCCCTTATTAGTTTTAAAACTTACATATTCATCAATTTTAATGTCTTGCGAAACCATTTAAATTAATAGGAATTGCTATGTCTCAATAGTTAACTATTTACACATTGTACATGATCTAAACATTGCTCGATGAAAAAGAGCCGATTTTTTTTTGAAAATCATCTGGTTTAGTTATCGACCTCATAAGTACTACGTGTAAGCATTTTGTGATTTTAATATTGACAGGTAGAGATTATATATACTTTGAATATTTTGGAAGCTGTGACCAGTTCATAGAAAAATAACTTTCCGGGAACTAAATAAAGGAAAGTGCTAATTATATATAAAGGTGGTTGTCAATAAAATTTCGTATTGTGTCAGATACTTTTTTTATTTAAAGGCTTTAAACATATTGAAGTGATGCAAATTTTCATGAAGTCGAATAAACTACTATAATTTCAAAGAACTTTTATTAAGCTTAAAATATATGAATTTATCATTGAAATCATTGATTTCTTTCTACCATGTACATTTTAATCAGCGTATATGAATTCAGCAAAGATATCAGGCTTATAGTTTGGTATTCCAGACGCGCGTAACAATTGATAGTTATAGTATTATGATCCCCACCACAAAAAAAAATAATTAAAAAAAACAACAAAATCTAACTTGTTTCGCTAGATTCGCTAAAAAACAGTTACTTTAACTATCAATAAAGCGAGTCAATATGTACAATGAGAAGTTATTTTAAAGTCGCAAGTGTCTTATTCGTGAAATTTAAATTAGGAGTTATTTTTATAACTACATAATATATTTGAAAAAAAACGACTTAAGTTTTCAAAGGTCGGAGGATCAAAATATTACGGGTTGTGATATATTTTCCAAAATACTTTATAAATTATTAAACAATCTAATAACTGTACTTCATTTTTGTTTAGAGTATATGTTTTAAATCTGGGATCTCTGAACTTCACATATTTAATTCGGGTTGAATTTATCTGAAAAAAAAAACCCAAACCACCATGGCTTAGACACAATGTAGTGATATTTTTCAGACATTTGTTTTTCAACTAGGACACCACATGAAGCATTTAAACTAAAGCAAGTATTTTTGATACAAATATGAAAATAAGAAAATGTAACATGACTGCTAATGAGACAACTTTCCATGACGTAGAGGTTATTTACTTTAGGTTACTGTACGGCCTTCAACAATAAGCAAAAAAAAAAAAAAACATACCGCTTAGTAAGCTAAGAAAGGCTCTAAAATGACAAAGGTAAAACAATGCAAACGAGAAAACTTACGGCCTGATTAATGTAAAAAGAATAAACAAAAACAAAATAAGATGATCTACAGAATAAAAACACAAAAGACACAAAGTACAGATCTGAGAGAGCTCGCAGTTACTAAACTCTATGTTAAAGCCAATAACAACTGATAAAAACAATGTGTTTAAGACTAGAATATCAATCAGTGCACATCCAAAATGTAAAGGATTTAGTGTAGAGATGTCATTAACAGTCGGAGAAAAACACCACCTTATATGAAATATACAGTTATATTTAAGAACGTTACTATAAAATAAGTCAATAAATAATTATACCAAGTGATAAGGTATCACTACAAATCGACTAGAAATTGCATCTAACTAATCCTAGGACATCACAAACTTCGTAAACAATCATTCTGTGATGTCACGGTTGCGGAATAATGAACGGATTGTGATTACGAAGATTGAAACGTATCTATGGTTATATGTGACTTTGGTATTTCACAGCAGCCAATCAACTCATCCGTAAAGCTTCCAAAGGGATAACTTCAACTTTTCGACTTGAATCACTTAGTTTAAAATGTACTCTGCGAGCAGGAACCCATTATTACGTAATACATTGATGGAAACACACTCTCTAGAAATCAACAGGGAAATATGTATACTCCATTTGCAAGCGCTAGGAATGTAAAGTGCATAATTGGGAAGATAACATTCATTAATGACTTAGGAAATGAAGCTTGTATTACAAACATGCACAGACATCCATGATTTATCCTAGTTGTTATATATATTATTGAATATTTCAGTCAGCGTGACGTTACCAAATACAAAAGTAATAGAATTGAACATGATGAAAGAAGAAAACATAACATAATGAACACAACACAAATAAGGAAAAACAAAACCAACGACTTCACGATTATTGATAAACACAATGAATTTAGTTTCATCATTGTCACGTTTATTTTTTTCATTATCAACATACCCGGTTTCCCATCTTATGGCGTTTACATGTTTCAGTTGATACGTTACATGCGTGAACTTTCATATTTTTGGATTTAATCAACGAGTGTTATCTCATAACGTCTGAACTGCTCTGTTGTGTTTGGTGAATTTATTTGTATTTTCGTCGTCTAAAGTCTTGTTGCCGTGGCGTTCCTTGATTGGTGAGTTTTGAATGTCTTCTTTGTATCTTCTGCCTTTTCTACAACAAGGTTAGAATTTCCACTTTGTAAATACAGCTGTTTTACAAACGACTCTTTTTGAGAGATACCTTATATTCATTATGACCTACTGGTTCCCAGAAATGATAATTCATGTTGCAAATAAAAGAGAGAAAACTTGGAATTTTACCAGTATAAATAAACTCATCATAGATACCAGGATTGAAATTTTGTATTTGCGTCAGACGCGCCTTTCGTCCACAAAAGACTCATCAGTGACGCTCGAATAAAAAAAGGTTAAAAAGGTCAAATACAGTACGAAGTTGAAAAACATTGAGGACCAACAATTCCTAAAAGTTTTGCCAAATACAGCTAAGGTAATCTATTCCTGAGGTAGAAAAGCCTTAGTATTTCCAAAATTCAAAGTTTTAAAAAGATTCATTATTATGACCATATCAATGATAATTCATGTAAACACAGAAGTGCTGACTACTCGGCTGGTGATACCCTCGGGGAATATAAACTTTACCAGCAGTGGCATCGATGAAATTTTGTATTTATGTCAGACGCGCGTTTCGTCTACAAAAGACTCATCAGTGACGCTCGAATCAAAAAAGGTTAAACAGGCCAAATAAAGTACGAAGTTGAAGAGCATTGAGGACCAAAAATTCCTAAAAATTTTGCCAAATACAGCTAAGGTAATCTATTCCTGAGGTAGAAAAGCCTAAGTATTTCAAAAGTTCAAAGTTTTAAAAACAGTTAATTTATAATTATGACCATATCAGTAGTAATTCATGTCAACACATAAGTGCTGACTACTGGGCTGGTGATACCCTAGGGGAATATTAACTCCATCAGCAGTGGCATCGACCCAGTGGTTGTAAATAAACTCATCACAGATACCAGGATTGAAATTTTGTATTTGCGCCAGACGCGCGTTTCGTCTACAAAAGACTCATAAGTGACGCTCGAATCAAAGATTAAAAAACAGTTGAATGGCGATCAAACAGACTTACCATGAAGATTCAAAGTAAAGGGAGGGGTAGTACAGATTTATAGTATAAGTTCAAACTCTAAGACGTTCGAGGCATATAAACGTTGAAAGTATACCACAGATCCCTATGTTTTGACCTTTGCAAAACAAGTGCATGAAAAGTTTCCATTCAAGGATAATATTTTGTAGGAAACTTCATAGTAAAAATGGCACAGGTTAAGCCGTAAAAGATCATGTGGGAAATTGCATTGTCTTTATCAACAGAGGTGCATCCCTTAAAAACAACACATGCAATCGACACCACAAACTACACAGATTGTACGGTCATCGTGACAAGTGTGTTGATCTAAAGATGCCACTCTGTGTGCATCTCAAACTGTATGGTAGATGTACCGTTGTATACTACAACATATCAGGACATTTTGATTAAATTTTGATTCACATGGTGGATGATGCATGAGTGTCAGGAGACGCATGTCCCTCCTTTGTTTTGGAGTTCATGCCATTCCTTAAAGCTGTTTGCACTTTGTATATTCTAAATGGATTGATATTTCAACATCAGTAATCTAATGTAATTGATAAATAAACCGTGTATTTGAAAAAGTCAATTGACTACCATTATTTTACCTCTGCCTGTACTAATGTGATATTGAGTGACTTGCGTATACTTCACAAATGTACAAAACATACAAAAGTAAGTTTATTTCATTTTTTGAAGTTGACATGATTTTTTTTATCATTAATTTTGTTGGCCACAGTTTATTTCATCAATTCATATCTACATTGTCATAAAATATTTCACATTCAATACATATTCAGTATGAGTCAGATGTGACAAACTACAGAAGAAATCGTTATTTTTGAACAACCACATATCACGCTTTATCCGCTTGTTGTTTTCACAAAAGAAAAAGGCAGAGTAAAAACTTGAATAACAGTTGCAATGTACTATATATTTTTTTTCGCGGTGTATTTATTTTCACGATTTCGCGATAGTTATATTTTCGAAGAAAACAAAACATCATGTGAATACCAATGCACCTTATATGCATATACAAATCATTGAATAAATGTCACCGGAATGTACTACTATGCATGCTTGTTTACCTTACATAACTTTAATTTCACTGTGAAACTATTACAAACTCGTTCACTATGCCCGTGGCTATTGTGTTGTTTTGGATTTCAATGAACGTGATCTATGTATTACAGGAAAATTATAAAGTACGGGATTTCGTTACCACAAATTACTTAAAACTTTACTAAATTCCTCCATAGATACAAACATTTGGTGTGGAAGTTTCGTTGTACTTTTAGAAAACCTATTTCAACGGGATAGCACATCCTAATTTTTACGGAGA